TCTCTGGTGAATCCTCTCACCGCCCCTGCATCTCTGGCCTGTACCCCAGTTCTGTATGCACAAATAAATAAATCTTTAAAAAAAAAAAAAAGGCAGCATTCCTAGGCATTAAGGTAAAGGAGGAAACAACCTTAGGATTCCACCTATAGTTAGGCAAGAGCTAGCAATGCATTAAGTAAGTCCAAAGTCTGTTTGGGGTCCCCAGAAGAGCAATTTAGTCACTCTGGCAAAGACTAGTCAGGGTACTCAGGGTCATCTGTGACCTGTGAGGATGTTACCATCATCATCAAAAGTGAGCTCAGCCTCATTCCTTCAAATCCTACAATATCTCGATTATAGCTAGCTCCCGGACCCTGGGCCCAAGACTCATCGAGTGTGATGATTCTTAGGGTCATCCCATCCTTAATGCTGCTGTCATTGCTCTATCCATTTACCCATTTTTCTGATTCTTTTCCTGTGGTTACACTAGTCTTTCTCAAGGGGTGCTATTGACATTTTGAGTAGTATAAGTCTGCATTTTATAGCAGCATTGTTTGTATGATGGAATAAAGTGAAGTTAAAATTACCCTTAGATTCCTAACCTACATGGTCAGTCTAAATGGTTTTTCTTCATAGACTTTTAGCTTCATAAAATGCTAGCAAATATTAGCTATCTTCTAATATTGTTTACAGGAACCCGTTTCTAGAAGGTGAAGGAAGGTAGGGCAAGTATGTCTCTGAGCCTCCCAATCTGTGCTTTAACCTGAGCTCTGCTTTTATTTCTTGAAAATACCCATACTTCAGTGTTAGATTCCAGTTAAAAGAAAGAACTTTATTGCTAAAACAAAAAACAAGATTGAAAACCTTGAATTGGGCCTCTTACTTACGGATGGAAAAATTTAGATTCAGCAAAAAAAAGTAGTTTATTCAAGGCCTTGCCACCAAAAAAATACCTGATTTGGGTTAGAACTGAGAACTTTTCTCAGTATTGCTACTACTGCCTCAGAACAAATCACTCTACTTCTAAGCATTAGTTGTAAACTTAAAGTGAGAATCTTTGCCTTTCTTAATAGGGTTACTTTGAAGATAAATAAAGGGCTGTGAAGTGTCTTTTATAAATGAAATGGTATAGTGTGGTAGTTTAAAGCTCTGGATACAGAAAGATGGGGAGTTCTGACTTTGGTTAGTTATTTGGTTTCATGGCCTTGGGTAAGTTTCTTTTTATTGATTTAACTAAGAAGTAATAATGGTAACTGCCTAGGAGTCATTATGAGATGGTCTGATAAATAAAGCAGATATCTATAAGCCCCTTGGCAGATAAGATCTCTGTTCTCATGGATTCCCATCCATGCCTGTTCTGTTCTATTAGGATGTCTAAAAGGGTTTGGAAGTATAGGGATCCCTCATTCATGGGCATCCTGTCATCCCTTGGGCTGTGTGCAGTTCCTAATCTTTTTCCTCTTCTCTCTGACTTAGGATCCCAAGTATCCTGTGGAGAATTTGCTAAACCCAGATAGTCTGAGAGGACCTTGGCTCAGCAGCCCTCAGGACAAGAGTGGGCAACTAAAAGTGGAATTGCAGTTGGAGAAGGCTGTGCCCATAGGCTACATCGATGTTGGTGAGTTAGTTCTTTGGGGCCTAGGAGCCTCTGTGGGAGGTCACGGGAATAACATCTACCAGAGTATCCCATCAATCTGGCTTTTCCTGAAATCCTGCAATATCTCCTTGGTGTGAAGATGGATTGTGGCCCTTGCCCTGGGGTCAGATATATGTTGTTGGAGATCACTTAGGGATCCATTCACACAATTGAATTTGAATGGCACCCTGCTTTGATCTGTGTGATATGAATGAAGTCTTAGAACATTGATATAAATGCCAATAAATAGTATATGTATATACCTGTGTAAATATCCATGTAAAGAAGATGCTGGAGGATCAGCTGTGCAAGCTTATCTGAGAAGGCTTCATAGTTCATAGGAGTTTAGGATTGAGAGTTAAGAAGTTTGGTCAGAATTTACTGGAATAAAAAACTAGCAGAGACCAATGGTCTCAACTCTGTCAGGATAGAGAGATGTCAGGCTCCTAGCAAGGATGAAGAGAGACAGACTATCTCCCAGGGCCAGAGCACAAAGAAGTGGCAGGACTCTTCCACTGGGAGGTTTCTGGCTGGGAGGAACTCAGTGAAGCTTCACATCATCATGTGTTGTGTTGAGGTCTCACCCCACTTCTGTAACTGACGCCACACATCACTTGTCCTTTCTGAGCTTCCAGCTGGAACTACAATGAAGAGTTTCCTCTTCCCACCTGATTCCTTTGTTTGCAGTCTGGGGAGCTCCTTTCATCCCAACACCCTATCCTTCTCTCAACCTTTTATTCCCAGGTAATTGTGGCTGTGCTTTCCTGCAAATTGATGTGGGTCGTTCTTCCTGGCCCCTGGACAGACCTTTTGTCACCCTGCTCCCTGCCACCATGCTAATGTCCCTCGCTGAATCAAAACAGGGGAAAAACCGCTCCGGGGTCCGCATGTTTAAAGATGGTAAGGAGAGCAGAGCAGAAATGGGGGATGGAGGGGTGAGAGATATGCAGTGCAATGGAGGACTGTAAAGTACAGTGGGAGGGGCCCTTGATGAGGCGTGGTTCTGTCTGTTGGAGGAATAATCTTATTTAAACATAACATGATTCAGTGTAGTATGATGTAGAAACCTTATTTGTAATGATGGGTTTTGTTTGTATAAATGGGTCTAAGTGGATAGTGGGTATGGAAGCTATGTGATGGTTATTGTTATGTAGCATATAGAGTTGCCTAAGTTTTCTTCTATGCAAATCTGTTCACTCTGCACCACTAAGAAACCTAAGATCTGGCCTTTAAGTATCTCAAGCTCTTAGGCACTCATACATTTCTCTGTGTTTCAAATGTTCTTGTAATGTTGGGTAAAAAGAGGCACATAATAACTGGAGATGCATAAGGTGAAGAAGATGGGGTAGAACTAGATATTGCTGGAAATAAAGATGAGGAGAGTTGTAATATTGTTACTGTGAGTGGGTGGACTGGGTATGTAGTGGCCTGAAGGCAGTTTAGGTTTCATGGTCCAGGAAGGGCAGAGATAACTTAATCAGTGGGGAACCTTGACCCCAACACTACAGACTCTTGTTAAAATGAGGTATTGATGAGGACCCTGGAGAGATGTAAAATAAGGGTATACTTGGGTTGGGACCAGTGTGGACCTGTGACAATGAGGATGGGTTGTAGGAAGGCAAGGGGCTGGAGCTAATAGCATCCTCACAGGCCCACTGCCAGCCATAAATACCAAGGCCTAAGGGGTCAATTACTGATGAGGTCCATTCTTCTTTTTATTGGAATATATGTAAATCCTGTTTTTCCTCTTCAATATGAACTTTCTCCCTCCTATTAATGTATTTCAACTCCCCCTTATTTCTCTCTTATTTTCCTTGAGGTGATTTCCTGGCTCCAGCCTCAGGTGACTCATGGGATCGACTTCGTCTTACCTGCTCCCAACCCTTCACACGGCACCAGTCTTTTGGCCTGGCCTTCCTACGGGTGTGTTCCTCCTTGGACTCAGAGGACCCTGTGACAGGTCCTTTGGCCCCTGGGAGCTCTGGACTGAGCAAGGTACATGCAGTGTTGAGGTATATACTTGGTATTTTCTCATTCTTTACAGTTTCTGGGGAGGAAACTGGTGCTTGATAAAGGGATAGACACACTCATACACACTACATTCACGTATAAACATAAATGGACTTCCTGCCCTTTCTTATAGGTATCAGTGAATTCTTCTTCCTTTCCACATTCAGAAGATTCAAGTGAATGAACTGTCAGCTCTTCGCAGCTATTCATTCTTTAGCCATAGGAAGTTCTTTTGGATTTGATTTAACCCCATTCTCTATTTCTAGGTTCTTGTGGGGGGGAGGAGGGTAGTGGTGGCTTCCATCAAACACTTCCTTTCAGCACTTAAAATCCCAGGTCATTGTTTTTCTCTGACCTACCTGCCTACCAAGGTCAGTTACAACCTACCAAAGACAGTTACAGTTCTCTGCTTTCTCTCCTGTCCAGCACACCTACTTGTAAGAGAAGATGTGTATATATAAGTTTCTAGTTGTGTACAGGTATAGACAATTGAACACCCCTTTCTCAGTCAGTTTACTAATTGTTTTTGTTTCCTAAGCCTTTTCGGACTCCCGCTTTCCTGTCAGTACTCTCTCCATTTATCTTTCCAAGCCAGTGACAATTTCCTTTCCCAGTCACTAAAAAACAAATATGAGCCCATAATCACACAAGCTAGACTCAGTATTTTAAAATTAAAAAAATACTTCTGGGCCTTCCTGGGGGCACAAGGGATTAAGTTCAGTACTATGAAGAGATCCACAGCCACGGAAGCACAAGTCCAATCCCCAGCCAGGGAGGTGACCCACATGGCATGGCAGACATTTCCTGACTTGCCTGCTGCTCCCCTAAGCAGTGTATTTCTGTCAGTCTGCCTGTTCTACTCCCTACTCTGTCTCTGATGAATCCTCTCCCCTTCTGCACGTCTGGCCTATACCCCAGCTATTGCATACATAAATAAATCTTTTTAAAAAAATACTCTAACTCATCTAGCCCCACCTGCCTCATTTTATTATCTCTGACTTACATATTCAAAGTCACAGTAAGCCAGAGCAGAGTGAGGACTAGAAATTAGGTTTCCTGTCATTACACTATATTGCTTCCTATGTACACAGTGCATTTTTAGAAGCTTCAAATATTTGACATAGCCAATAGAATCTCGGTTCCCAGAAGTGAAAACTCACAGGTCTCACTCTTTTCGAGGCTACTGAGAAAATGAAAAGACTGACCATACTGGGACGAGGAAATGAAGTTCAAACAGACAAGATAGGAATAGATGCTTTGGCAGTATAGCCTTGGGAGAGACTCAGATAGCTAAGATAACGCTTCATCTAAGACTTACCCTTCCAGTGTGGGAAGAGCTAAAAAATGCAAAAAGCCTAGTGAAAGCAGTTCAGTGGGCTCTGCCAGGTTTGGATATTGCAGTCCTGGCAGTTGACATGCATGGAACTAAATTCTGGCTGCTCAATAAAATGGAAGTTCTGTGAGATTAGGGACTTGTCTGTCTTGTTCCATAAGGCATTTCTGGTATCTACCAGTGCCTAGAAGAAAGTAGGCTTTTAGTACAAATGTTCATTATATAAATGACTTCTCAGAGGAGAATTGTAAAGATCACCATAAAATTTATCATCCAAGCTAAGACATTTGAGAGCAAAATCAATTGCTATTAATAATGATACCATTATTAAGCTGGACGACCCCACACCAGGACACATGTATGATCACCCTAATTATAGGGTAAGAGCTTCCTGGAGTCTTTTCCATTTTGGCCATCTAAATTACTCTGAACTTGTAGGACCATGGTGGGATCAAGGAGGAAGGGAGTCAACAATTTCAATGTCAGAAAAGCATTGAACATTGATGAGTGAAATATATATGCAGGTAGTTCAGTGAAACTACAGGAAAGAGAGATCCTGAAACATTTCTATGAGAGAGGGGTGGTAAATGCAAATGAACTTAGTCACCAATTTTATATTAAGGAAACAAAAACACAGAAAAGTTTAGTGTAGTGTATTAGGGGGTCCAAACTGCTAAATAAATCTTGGAGTGGATTTGAATCTAGGCTGCCTGACTCACTTAACCCATGTTCAGGAGCTTAATTCCTTTTTTTTTTTTAAAGATTGATTTATTTATGCATATAGAACTGGGGTACAGTCCAGAGGTGCAGGAGTGGTAAGAGGATTCACCAGAGACAGAGTGGGAAGCAGAACAGGCAGAATGACTGAAATACACTATTGAGGGGAACAGTGGGCTATGCAGGAGAGGTCTGCTGTGCCATGTGGATTAGCTCCCTGGCCGGGGATCAAACTCATGTCACAGTGACTGGCAATAGCTTGATAGCAGTGTGTCTTTAACCTTTGCACTACCAAGGAGGCTCCTAAATAGTATGTAATTTCTCTCCTGTGAGTATATAAGAGAGATAAGTGATTTGAGTTTTGTAACTATATAAATCAACCTTTTATGTGAATAAATATGTATATTTGGTTCTATACATGTAGTTATATATATATACACACACATAGGCTTTGCTGAGTTTTCACATGATATCAGTCATGTTTTTTTTCCAAGAGTGTGTATTATCTATCTTTTTTTTTTTTTCCCTAAAGATTTATTTATTTATGCTTACAGAACTCGAGTATAGGCCAGAGGTGCAGGGGCAGTGAGAGGATTCACCAGAGACAGAGTGGGAGCAGAACAGGCAGAGGGACAAAGTACACTGCTGAGGGGATCAGCGGGCACGTCAGGAGAGGTCTGCCGCGCCATGTGGGTCACCTCCAGACCAGGGATCGAACTCATGCTGAAGTGACTTTAACTTCTTAGTGCTGCACTTTAACCTGCTGCGCCACCAGGGAGGGCCCATATTATCTATCTTTTCCCCAGGTCTTTCAGGACAAAAACCTTAGCATTGTGGAACTAAGTAAACAAAATCACAGAAACTCACACTTAGGTTGTGCACACACTAGCAAAGGTGCCATGTACAAGTTACACACACAGTAACAGATAGAGTCACTCACCTAGCTGAATTTCTCAGGCTTAGGCATGTCTCTGACACTAGGTGGCAGAGTCCCCCGTAGTGAATGTCTGTATTCCATATTTCTCCAGAGTTCTTCTGAGGCTCAGAAGTCTGGCAACAGTCCCTGGATGGCTAATCCCTCTATCCGGAGAACATTCTTCCCAGATCCTCAAACGTATGTAGCTGCTGGAGTGAAATTCTGGCTTCTTCATTCTCTCTCTTGGAACAAAAATGGCAGCCAAACACTGATAAGCACAAGCCCAGACTGGATTCACCGATTTGTTCACATACTGTAGAACTAACTTGATCTGATATCAAATCAGGTTTCTTGGTTAGATGCCATTGACTTTGATGAGCAGAATTGAGTATTCTGAGTGAAATCAAGTATTCTCTTTTTCCCTGCAGGAACACCAAGGAAATCTCAGATCTTAAGAATATCCTAAAGCAGCTACAGCCAGGGGCCTTGGGGCGTTCAGCCCACATGGTACTTTCAGCTGCCCGCAGGGCACCTCCATCTATCATGGCAAGCCCAAGAAACAATTGTTTAGAACCAGATCTGAGTCATCCAGACAGTGCAGGTGAGGCTCCAGGACCTAACTTTGGTCCTTAGTGTCCCTTGTACCATCTTTCCTCCCTGAATCCACTACTGCTACATAGGGCAGACTCACAGATGGGACCTCATGTGGGAGAAAAGACAATTGTCAGTATCTTGTTACCAGAACAGGAATGAAATACTGTATAGTAACTGAAAGAGCACTGGCCTAGGATTCAGGAGTCCTGATCTCTATGGGCCTCAGTTCCCCCATCTTCAAAGTAAAGGCATTAAATCAAATAGGATTTAGGCCCTGGGTAGATGTTTTGAGGCCCCTTTTCTACAAGCAGTTTTCAGACATCCAATTCTGGCACTGTCTACCCCAAGATAATATTAGATTCCATAGGTAAAGGGCTTCGTCTCCTAAGACCACCCTCCAGATGCCAGTCACAAGCCCAGGCTGTTACCTGTGCTTCTGACCACCTGTCTACAAATCAGGGGTGCCCACAACCCTTCTCCTTAAGTTCAGTTAATTTGCTAAAATGAGTCAGAGAACTCAGAAATATTTTACTTATTAGATTACCAGTTGGTGTTAGGAGGATATAATTTAGGAACAATGAGAAAGAAGAGATGCATATGGGACTTTCCACATATGTGGGAAGGGGCTAGGGACTATCATACCCTTCTGAGAACATCACTCTCCCATAATCTCATGTTCCCCAACTGGACATTCTTCAGGAACTGTATACTTTGGATTTTTATAAAAGGTTTCTTTATACAGGCATATCTGATTCAATCATTGACCACTAAGGATTGCTTCAACCTTTAAGGGGGGACTGAACCCTCTAAGCACATGGTTGCTAGCACCATCCTGGGGTTTTATAAATCATGATTTCATAAGCTTCTTCCTTTATTAATGTTTAGTGATCAGTTCAGGACAACTAAATAAAGATGCTGGTATATGGAGCTTATAAAAGAAATAAAGTGGAAGAGAGTATTAAAAAACATTTGAAGTTCCTACTTTTGCTAGACACTTTATTTCATGTAAATTTAAAAAAAAAGTGGTGTTACACCCATTTTATAAAAGCTGAGGCTCAGAGAGGTTAAATATTATAAGTCTCACCGCTAATAGTGACAGGACCAGAACTTGAAGCCCAAAGCTCTTGCTTTTTTTACTATCCTAGTAATAACTGTCTATTAGACAAAGAGTTCTAATTGAAATCCTTAGTTTGTCATTGTTTCATTGGGAACATTTCCCAAAAAGCTTACCTGTTATTTCAGAGAATTTAGCACATTAGTGAAGCAATGAATATATATCATATCATTGCAAAAATGAGTATATTTGATTATCTATCGATGCATACTTACCCTCAAAACATAGTTGCCGGAGGCTAGCTCCAGCCGAGATAGGGTACATGCAGGAAAGGACTGTGTCAGCAAGTGAGGAGACATAGGCACTCGATCAGGTGGCAAGCATCTCCTGATGATAGTTAGGAATCTGAATCTGGCTAACCTTTCCTTGGACCTGGATCTGTGATCTCGGTTCAGCTGGAAACTATCTGCTCACAGCTCACTCGCATGATTGGTGATAAGTTGTATAGTTCCTCAGGAGTGAGGCTTTCCTCATTCCATTGCCACAAGAATCTCTACATAACATCTCATAGCCTGGCAGCTTGCTTCATCAGAGTGAGAAAGCAAGAGAGAGAAAGTGCTAACAGGGAAGAAGTCACAGTCTTTTGTAACCTCATCACAGAAGTGACATCCCATCACGTTTGCCATGTCAATTTGTAAGAACAAGGCAGTAGGTCTACCCTGCACTCAAGGGGAGGCATGCATACTGGGAGGCAGGGGTCACTGGGGGTCATTTCAGAAGCTGCTTCCCACATAAGGAAGGATATAGTTTACTTTAAGAGATGGAGAACTGGAGGGGAACTAACCTTTGTGGGGTCCTTGTTATAGGCGCAGCATTGGAGCTATCCAAGTGTTTTGAAATAATAACACCAATATTAAATACTAAAGAAAATGTTTCACTACTTCTGAATAGTTAGGCAAATGGTTGTTACTGGGATTTGTTATCACTCCTTTGACAGATATTTGCTGAGTGTCTCATACCTGTGAGGCTCTGAGCCAGAGATACCACAGTAAATACAACAGCAATGCTGCTACTCTAATGGAAAGACATGCATGTCACACACACACACACACACAAAAAAAAAAAAAACTATAAAATTTAAAATTTCTTCAAAGCCAAAGAATAATAGAAAGACCAGTTACAGATGAGAGACTCCAGGAAAAGTACTTCATAGAAATTAACACTTCCTATAAGACTTGAAGAATGAGAAAATTAGGCAAATAGGGATAAAAAGGATATTCACAAAAGAAAGGACACCATCTGTGAAGTCTCCTTTGTTAAATGAGCTGGATTTAATGAGCAATTTTTAATATAGAGCCCAGACCAGAGGAGCAAAGCACAGAGAATGATGTGGGCAGAACGAAGAGACGGAAAATGCAAGTTAAGAGGTAAGTAGGCCAACTTAAGAAAACTTGGTCACCTCCCCAAACTTTATTGCTCTCCTGTAGCTAGCCTCCTCCTCAGTCAGGTTTCAGTTAGGTCAGAGTACCTTGTGTCTAAGTCTTGATCTAATCGTCTGGACCTAGAAGGTAGTGGAGAAAAGATGAACTTGTTCACATAGTGTCAGACTTAAACCTAGGCAAGGTTGTTACCCTGTAGTGAACCAGAACTTTAAAATAGTATAGACTACATTAAAATGTAACTCCTGTTCTGCTTAAAAAGATAAACCACAGAATAGCATATCATCTATTCGTTAAGATCTGTATCTAGAATATTTAAGGAATCCTTATAACGATAGCCTAATTTCTTGAAGGAACAAAGAATCTAAATAAACTTTTCTCTGAAAAAGATACAAAAGTTGCCAATAAGATGGTATGAAAAAATATTCAGCATCAGGACTCACCCCAGTAGTGCAGCAGATTAAAGCACAGCATTATGAAGCTATCCGCAGCCACTGTACCATGAGTTCAATCACCAGCCAGGGAGCTGACCCACAGGGTGCAGCAGACTCCTGACCTGCCTGCTGCTCCCCTCACCAGTATACTTTGTCAGTCTGCCTGTTCTGCTCCCCACGCTGTCTCTGGGGAATCCTCTTACTGCCCCTGCACCTCTGTATGCATAAATAAATCTTTAAAAAAAAAAAAAAGTTCAGTATCATAGGTCATTGGAGAAAAATCAAAACCATAGTGATCATTCCACACTCACTGGGATAGCTATAATAAAAAAGCTAGTCACGGTGTTGGCAAAGATGTGGAGAACTTTGGACCCTTATACATACATTGCTGGTAGGAATTAAAATGGCACAGCCACTTTGGTAAACAGTTTGGCACTTTTTCAAATTTAAAGATACAGTTACCATATGACTCATCACTTCCTCTCTTGGTATGTGACCCAGGGAATTAATAACCAATATTTACACAAAAACTTATAGACAGCTATTCATAGCAGCATTATTCTCAATAGCCCAAAGCAGGAAAGAAAACAGATACCTATTCACTGATGACTAGGTAACAAAAGTGTAGTCTATTTATACAAAGAAATAATACATTGGGATATCATTCAGCCATTTAAAAGGAATGAAATACTGTTAACTGCTATAATGTGTATGAACCTTGAAAAATACTAAATGAAAGACAGTCATAAAAGATATATATTGTATAATTTGCTTTTATGAAATGACCAGACTAGACCAACTTAGATAGAAAAAAGATTAGTAATCTGTGGGGATAGAAGAATGGTGAGTGACTACTAATGACTTCAATAGTCACTCTTTAGGGTGATAAAAACATTCTGAATTAGTTGTACTTATACAACCTTGTGAATATACTAAACTATTGAATAAATTTACTTTAAAAGGGCAAACTTGGGCCTCCTAGTGGTGCAGCAGTTAAAGTCTCAGCACTTTCAAGCTACCACCAGCCACTGTGACATTAATGCAATCTCTGGCCAGGGAGCTAGCCTGGCACAGCAATATATAAGTGTTCAGATTTCTCCATGTGGCACAGCAGACCTCTCCTGTCTCACCCGCTGCTCCCCTCAACAGTGTATTTCAGTAGATCCACTGTTCTGCAATCCTCTCATTCCCCCCACACACATCTACACCTCTGGCCTACACCCCAGTTTATGTACACATAAATTAATGAAAATAAATAAATTTAAAAGGGTGAACTTTATGTGATGTGATTTTTATCTCAAAATAATGAGAGACATAAAGGCAGTCATATAGAAGCTCTGTACTCACTGTTTAAAGGTTAAATGACTTATCTTAGTCTGTCCAACAAGTGGGAAAACCAGGGTGTCTGGCTCCCCATCAGCTAGTCTGTCCTTTCCACCTTCACTTGAGGCTTCTTTAGTCTTCCTGTTCTCATGCTCATAGCCAGTGTTTATTCTTTCTCACAGGTCTTTATCCAAGTCAAACTCTCGTACAGAGAGGAACAGGATAAAAAAGACACGGCAAAGAGCACAGTGCCAACCCCAGGCCCAAAAGAGCAGCGTCCAGGAGAGTGGGCAGTGCCCCATTTGTGCAGGTAACTGCTTGGGTGCAGGTGGCCCTGTGTCACTACTATCCATCCCTTGATGGGGGAATAGGCGAACTGGGAATGCTACCAAGAAGTGCTGAAATTTGGACTCCCTGCCACTGTCATCTGCAGTGCCTAGGTGTGGAACTGTACTTTCACTCACCTGTAAAATCAGGACAAGTCTTTATTGCTCACCCTGTGCTAGGCCGAGCTGAGGATGGGACATGGCACAACCTGGCAGCTTGTTTCATCATCTGGCCTCCAAAGAAACAAGGAACAGAAAATATAAAGCACCTTCAGGCTAGAATTTCCTTCGAAACTTTTTTCCTCCATGTCCAAGTTCCACTTACTGTCTCTGTTCAAATGATACTTGTTTGTCAAGTCTTCTCTGGTCTTCCTAGATAATCTCTCCCAATGGAGCTCCTGCCACGTTCTCCTGGGGCTCAGTGTTTCTCACCTTCTGTTTTGCACTGTGGTTATTTGTGGCCATTGCTAACCTTTTCCCCTCTGCTGGGCAGTCTGAAAGGACAGGCCTGGATTTATATCCCCCAGCTGCTAGTCAGGCACATAGCAAACACTTGATAAATGTTTGGTGGGCTTATGACTGGACAGTGTCTCCCAGGGGTAAAATACTCAGCCATACTAAATTTCTGCCAAAGCAGTTGCATCTTGACAACAAATGTTCCCTTCAGCCTGCTCAGGGTGGCATGCTGCCTGGGAGGAGGCTCAACTTTGTTTCCCTTCTCTCTCCCTTAGGAACCTTCAGCACTGACATTCTCCCCCAGCATGCTGCCACTTGTGGAGAGACCTCCCCGCCTCACGCAGCCTCTCCCTGTTCATCGCCATCTTCTTCACCATCTGTACTATGGGTGCCCTCCCCAGAGAGCTCACCTGTTTCCTGGGTCCAGTGCCCTATCTGCCAGCTGCAGTTCTCAGCAGGAGAAGTAGAACAACATGCCAGCATGTGCGGGGAGACCTGAGCCCTGAGGTGCTGTGGTCTAGAGGTCCCCCTGACCTTATACCTGGAACTGTAGACTGGCTCTCTTGACAACTGAGAAGGGCTGATGAGGCCAAGCACCCTGTCTCCATCCCTCCACTTATTCCCTCAGGACTCTACTTGAGGGCACTTCTGGGCAGCCCCTTCCTACTCCCAGTTGTCAAGGTTTTTGTCACCATGGCACCTATTCTCCCAAGGAGAGCATCATTTTTCTCTCTGGAATAGAACTGGTGATCTCTCAGACTGTAGTACATAGTCCAGAATGTCTCTCCTTCAGTTAGTGGTGTGTGTCCTCGTGCCCATTTTCCTAAAAAGGAAAACAGAGGCCCAGTAAAAAGAAAAGCACTGCCTAACAGGCAAGGTATGTGGTGTGCAGGGAAGGTGAGAATAGGTTTTGAGTATGAGTGCCTTCCAGCATCCCATGAACTTTTAGTGTCCTTGTGGGTTCCCTTTCTAGGTCTCATCAGGTAACAGGGTTGCTGAGTGACCTTAAGTAAGTTATATTAGGTTCAGAATTAACCTTCAGTAACAGAAAATCTCTGCTTTGTCCACAGACCTTTTAAAGGGACCGCATGTATTAATGACTGAAAGATAGTTCTAGGCTTGGCCCCTGAACTCAGACAATTCCCTGTCCCCATCTTTAAAATGAGGCAGTTACACCAGAGAGTCTCTAAGCTTACAGCCCATAACCCCCAGTTTTAACATTCTAAAGTTGGTCCACACTTTCCATGAGCAACTACATCTCTCCACTTTCCCGGAAGATTCCTTGTGTGGCATTAACACCGCTGCCCTGGTCTCCAGGGTTCAGGGCAAAGGGGGAGCAGCTGGTCCTGGCAGGGGGCGTGCCCAGGGCGGAGTTTGGATGGATACAGAGGAGGAAGCAGGCACTCTTTGGAGAGCAGGCAGGAGTCCAGTCCTTTGGTGCGTCCAGCATAGTAGTTGAGCTATGGACTCCCTCACGGTAAGAAGCCCTCTGCTTCCCTCCTTTCCCCCACACTGGTCATACTTCTGGCAGTGATTTGAAGCTACAGGTTGACTCAGAGGAGCAGCAGGGTCATCTTAGCTGCAGTGTCAGTGGTGGACATCACCACAGGGTGGGAAATAAGCCCTTTGAGCCCTGAACCAGACTCAGCGGAAGAGTGGTGAGGATGGGTCTGGGCCTGGTAGAGAAGAGATCAAGGAACTCTGAAGGGCAATATGCCCCCCAAAACAGAAGAGGGTAAGGCTAGGGGGGACTGGTGGAGGAGGAGCCTGTTAAGGTCCCTCTAGGAAGCCTGATCAGAGCTGAGGGGCTTAGGAAAAACCCAGTTCGAAGATCCTCCTGTGTGTACATGTCCAGTCTTGTCTCTGGGAGGCTCTGGGACTTCCAGAGGGAGGAGCACAGCATCAACAAGATGCCACTGGGTCCTGTGGGTCAGGCTCCCAGCGGCTTAACCAATCCTATTTTTCAAGATACACACATTTGACTCCACTGCATTGGGGGGTGGGGGGGAGTTTCCTATGAGGATGGAGGTTGTACTAAAAAAGACATCCCCAGTCAGACCCAGTCCTCCCACTTTCTTAACCTAAGAATCCACAAAATAAAATGGCTGAAAATATTTTTGTTTGTGATTGGGACAAGGAAAAATAAAATGATGGCCAAGTATAGAGAGTTGGAGCCTTTAAGGTGGCAGGGGGAGGGAGGTCACAAAACAGGATTGAAGACTTGGGAGCCCACCCTTTCCATTTCTTCATCCAGCCACAGCCAAACTGGACTGAGATCGTGAACAAAAAGCTGAAGTTCCCACCACCACTCCTGGATGCCATCCAGGAGGGGCGGCTAGGTCTTGTGCAGCAGCTGCTGGAGTCTGGGGCCGAGGCCACAGGACCTGGGCCAGGCGGGCCCTTGCGGAACGTGGAAGAGGCCGAAGACCGCTCCTGGAGGGAAGCTCTCAATCTGGCCATCCGACTGGGCCATGAGGCCATCACTGATATATTGTTAGCCATTGTCAAGTTTGACTTCCGACAGATCCACGAGGCACTTCTTGTGGCAGTGGACACAAACCAGCCGGCAGTGGTGCGTCACCTGCTAGCCCGGCTAGATAGAGAGAAGGGCCGCAAAGTGGACACAAAGTCTTTCTCACTGGCTTTCTTTGACTCTTCAATCGATGGCTCCCGCTTTGCACCTGGTGTCACACCGCTCACCCTGGCCTGCCAGAAGGATCTGTATGAGATTGCACAGCTGCTTATGGAACAGGGTCATACCATTGCCCGGCCCCACCCTGTCTCCTGTGCCTGCCTGGAGTGCAGCAATGCTCGCCGCTATGACCTCCTCAAGTTCTCCCTGTCCCGCATCAACACCTACCGTGGCATTGCCAGCAGGGCCCACCTCTCACTGGCCAGTGAAGACGCCATGCTGGCTGCCTTCCAGCTCAGCCGAGAGCTCAGGCGCCTTGCACGCAAGGAGCCAGAGTTTAAGGTTGGTTTCCCATACTTGCCCCTGCCCTCCTGTTATCTGTTCTTCCACCAAGGCTTACATAGGATTGTGTAAGTTGTTCTGGAAAGTGGAAAAATAACAGAATGAAGAAGCTCAGTTAGTCCTCAGGGAATTTCCATTTTGAGGGTGGTTACAGAATCTCTAATGGCAGTGCCCTAGGGGCACATCTGGTTATGGGGGTAGCTCATAAGTGGTTCCCTGAGTCAGGACAAGGGAGAGCAAAGACAGAAAAGCAGACAGACTTAGAGATGGCAGGAGAACCCATCCCTTCAGAGTGCTCTCTGTGTGATCCCACCTAAAACAGTATGTAGAGTCTCCACACTTGTGATGACAAGCAGAGGATAGACATGGCCCTCCTAGACACAGCTTCATTTAGTGCCTCTGTGCCTGGTGTTCTAGGGTTTCCAAAAGGGCTTCTAGAAAAGAGGGGTCAGGAAATGACAGTTGTGTTCAGGAAAGACTCCTTAGAGGAAGCAGGACTCATCTTGGCTACACAAGCCAGGAGGGGCAGATGCAGAGGCAGAGGGAGGGTATCCGAGGCAGGGGACGGTCCAGGCAAAGGCTCTTGACCAAAAAAAGTCAACAAAGGGATGAGTACAGACAAATACAGACAAACCCTGTATGGGACAGAATGTGTAAAGAGGAGCCAGGGGACCTGAAGACAGGAACCAGTGAGGTCCTTGCAAATGACCAGTACAGTTTTATCCATCCCTCTCTACTGACATCCCCCCTATGCAGGCAGGCAGGCCCCTGGACTCCAATTACCATCATATGTGCCCAATCAAGGATATTAAAACCGAGGCCTGAGGCAGGGTGTGGACTGCAGGTGAGTTGGGAGAGTGTGTGTCCTCCACCTGGAATTCTGGGAGGATCAGCGAGTAAAGCGCTCCCCTTGCAGAAAAGGGCAATTCTTTCCAGAGGACTTTCCCTCTAGTCTCATAGCAGCCCACAGAAGGAGGCAGAGCAAGACTGCTATGCCTTTTCCAAGAAGGAAACAGGCCTGGAAGGGGAGGTACCATACCCAATATGACAGCTCCTGGGTCAGTGGTGGGCCTCAGATGTCACCACCTGCAATTCTAGCCTGGACTCTCACCAAGGTTAGGGCCCCAAGTAAAACTGAGGACTGACCCAGCTGCTGTCATATTAGGTATGGTAACTCCCCTTCCAGGCCATTTCCTTCCTAGATAAGAGGGAAAGTCCTCTGGAAAGAATTGTCCTTTTCTGCAAAAGGAGCTCTTTACTCTCTGAACCTCCCATAATTGTGGTGGAAAGTAAAGAGGCAAAACTGCCTTATCATCCATGTCTCCTCAACTTGCCAACACAGGTTTTCCTATGAGGTAGTTGCTTAAGGAAACTAGATAAAAGACAAGAAGAGTAGAGCAGAAGTGAGACAAGAAGTTGGGATTAGAAAAGGAATATACAGGGCATGGGCAAAGGTGCTGGGGTTGGGTGAAAGAGGGATAGGTAGCATCAGATAAGTCAGCTGACACAACAGGTAGCTCAATAAGAGAGGTGAGGTAGCGAAGAATAGAGGCCCAAGGTGACTCCAGCTGTGGAGTACTGGGGACCCAATGTCAGGACAGAGGCTGCACAGGACCACTGTTAGGAGGGAGGGAGGCTGACTTAATGACCCCAGATCCCCAAGGGGTCAGACAGACACGGACCTACTTCTCCCCTACAGCCTGAGTACATTGCCCTGGAGTCACTGAGCCAGGACTACGGCTTTGAGCTCCTGGGCATGTGCCGGAACCAGAGTGAAGTCACTGCAGTACTCAACGACCTGGAAGAGGACAGTGAGACTGAGGCTGAGGGCCTGAGCCAGGCCTTTGAGGAAGGCATCCCCAACCTGGCAAGGCTTCGGCTAGCTGTCAACTACAACCAGAAGCGGGTCAGCTGGGCCCTACCTGCCTCCCCACCCCACCCTGGCCCTGCCACCTTTAGGCATCCCCTCACACTAAGTCTTTGCCCTGCTTCAGGACCTTCTCAGACCTTTATTCTGAGCACCCTTTTATCTAGGCCCCCATCCTCCCTTCTTACCTTCATCCAAGTGCCTACCCTCTCCATTATCCACCAGGACCTCACCACACACACCTGCAGCCCCAATATGTGGGCCTTACACTCACCTATGCCTCCAGCCTTCTGAGTAACTTTGCTCCAGTCTTTCTTGTTGGACTCAGTATCTCTATTCAGCAAGATAAAACAAGAGATCTTGGAGCTTTAATATTATCTGGTTCCATTATTCCCTGTCTCATTATCCCCTGCCCCTTGAGCTAAAGATGAGCCCTGTCAAGCCTTCCCCAACCCTATACTGTTCCCTCTCACCTAATCCACTAGCACTGCCCTCATAACGACTCCCCTGGCCCTGCCTCCAAGACCCCAGCCCACACTTTCCCTAATCCTTTGCTCATCAAGCCTATTCAGGCTGGCCCAAATCCTGAACATTCTGACTTGGGTACCCACTTCCACCCGCAATCTCCTGCCTTAGATTCAAGAATGTGGGATCTGGAAAATCCAGGGAAAACTCTGCGTTCAGGTTCTTCTTCATGGACAAAGATACTAAGCCCAAAGAGGGATGGGGGTGAGGGGTAGGAGCTGACCCATGGTCACATGGTAACTGAGGGGCCTCTCACACCTGGGAAGTATAGAAACATCCTTTAACTTCTATGGCAAGAAAGTAAGAGCTGTGCATCCAGCAGGCTCCCCACTTCTCCCTGCTTATGCCTCCTCTGCTTAGTTTGTAGCACACCCCATCTGCCAGCAAGTCCTGTCTTCCATCTGGTGTGGGAACCTGGCCGGCTGGCGTGGAAGCACCACCATCTGGAAGCTCTTTGTCGCCTTCCTCATCTTCCTCACCATGCCCTTCCTCTGCCTTGGCTATTGGCTGGCACCCAAGTCCCGGGTACTAAGAATAAAACTAAAGATAACCCTCATTTATTGGCCACTTGCTTTATGCCAGGCCCCGGGTCAGGAATGTTCCATTAGATAGCATCCAGAAGTGGACAGTAAACATTCCACTTTGATTTCACTGAGGAAGCTGCATAGGGAACACAAGCACTTTTCTTGTCCAAGGGACACAGCAGACAGAATCTAAACTGGGCTCTCTGCCTCCAAAGCCTGAACTCTCCTAAAGAGAGTTCACCCCAACCTACAAATTCTTTGGGAGTCTTTGTGGATCAAGGCGTTTTTATTCCTTCAGTCCACAAGTACTTCCAGCATTGTGCCTGGCACTGGGGCTGTAATGGAAAAATTAACCCTGTTCCTATTAATCAGCTAAGGAACAGTGTTCCAGCAGCAGGAATAGTACCTCTGGGGGCCTGGGGAGAGAAAAGGTAAAGTGTTCAAGAAAGAAGGAAGGCTATGCTGCTAAAGTAGAAGTGCAAATTGTGGGCATTGGAAACTAGGTGGGGCTATGTCACTGAACCATGGGAGCCATTGTGGGTTTTAATGAGGCAAGTGATCCATGAGTTCTGTGTTTGAGAAAGTCCTCTCCACTAGTGCCGTGAAGCGTGGATTGGGGGGTGGGCACGGGGACAGAAATCAGGGAAACTGTCAGCAGAGTGTTAAGAGGATGTAGAAATGCCTTCAGCATTCTGGTCTGAGTAGCTGGGTCATTTTCTAAGAAGGGGACCCAAGTTTGGAAATAGATGAATTTATTTTTTAGCATGTTGAGCCCAAGGAACCTCTGAGGGAAATATATGAAATATAGGACCTTCAGTTCTCTAGCCAAGGAAATAGGGATAAGAATACCTACTCGTTAGGTAGGAGACAATGGACATGAAAGTGTAGGATCTAGTATGTAGTACATCATCAGTAATGTCTGAATAAGTGAGTGAGAGAAAAAGGGAGTGGTGTGTAGACTGAGCACTCTGGAAGTTCCCAGGAAGGAGAGTTGTGAACAGGACTCAGAGAGCCATGCTATCCCTCCTTCCCCTCCAAAGCTGGGCCGCCTACTAAAGATCCCAGTGCTGAAGTTCCTGCTGCACTCTGCCTCCTACCTGTGGTTCCTCATCTTCCTGCTGGGAGAATCCCTGGTCATGGAGGCACAGCTGAGCACCTTCCAGGGCCGCAGCCAGAGCGTCTGGGAGACTTCCCTGCACATGGTCTGGGTCATAGGTATGCATGTGGGACCTGTCACTCTGGCACTTACCCTTGGATGGCCCCTCATGATTATTACCCCAATGAGGGAAACCTCTCTCTGAAAATATAGCCCCCTAAGCATAAAACTGCACCTACATGGGCCCTGGTACACCGAGGGATCTTTCCCCTTCACCTCTAGCCCAGGGACCTAGCCCTGCAAGAGACAACCTGAGTAAGGACCCCATTCTTCATCCACCCTGGGACCAGTCACTACCCATGTTGGAGGTCCCTATCTGCCAAAATAACATCCTGGTTTAGTGTTAGGTGGCAAATTACCTTGGTGATATGGTCACCTGCAAGTGTATCACCAGTCTATTCAAAAGGTTCTGGAACAGAAAGTTTCACAGACCACATGAAGATGCTAAACCATATGGTTTCTTACATGGAGGGCTTCCATATGGTGGGCTTACGATGGTGGCGTTATAAGGGCCACGGTTCAGGTTTAAGCAGGAGGATACAACAGGCAAAGTTGCCTGGGTCCAACACTTAAACTGGGGTATAAGTATGTTTGACCACAGTTGTAGTTTACAATCAACCTGATGAGCTGCTATGACTTCTCTGCCATCTTTGGGCAGAGGACATGTGAGACTAGAATGGGTATCACCAGTAAGCAGCTGATTGAGGATCTAATACCAAGGGCCTTGTTTTCTTCATGCATAAACACTCTTCTACTAGCCTTTGTTCCCCTGCTCCTCAATCTTAACATCTTCCAACCTCATTGTCACTACTTTCGTCTCCCTCACTAGATTACCAGCTCTGAGAGGAGATGCACCAAAGGACCCCACTGGCATATGGTAGAAGCCTAATAAGGTTCATTTAATAATGACTATTTTGCCTTATTCTGGACTTGGGAGACAAGGAGATGAATTGGACCTGGCCCCTGTCCTTGAGAGCTCCAAGTTCAGGGGAGGTGTGTGTACACAGCTCAGGAAGAGGTAGCCTCCATGGCCTCAGTGATGGCATCCCAGAGATGATGAAGAGAGCACAGAGCAGGGGCAGCCCACTTCCCCAGCAGGGAAGGCATCACCAAGAGGGCGCCAAAAAAGGAGCAGCTGGCTTTAAAATGGTGAGGAAGGGCATTCTAGGGAGTGGAAACTGTGAGTGAAAACCACATGCTTGTTAACCAGGGAATGGAGAAGGGTACAGTGTGGGCCTCCTGGAAAATGGGGCCCAGCTCCCAACCCCTCTCTCCAGGCCTAGTGCTGGTCCCACTGAGTCATGGGCGCCCTGAGCAGGCTGATAATTTGGACTTTTCAAGTCAATATTCCTAAACTATTTGTCAATATTTACTTGGTGATTGGCTGAAGAACCAGATTTCAATCATTCCCTCCTCATAACCAGTTTCTCCTGGGTGATACTCATGATCTGAAAATCAGCTGACCACACCTCAAATGAGGCTACATTAGTCCAGGCCTTATTTTCACATAAAGTCACTTTGTCCTTGACCAAACTGTTTTATATTTTATAGTTTTACCCTGTGATGTTTTACTGCCCCCGCCCACCATAACCTAGTTCTGAGCTGGAAGGAGTTGAAAATTCTGCTTCATTCTGTCCTGGCACCCTGCCACCCCTATCCCCCAACCCCAGGCTTTCTCTGGTTTGAGTGTAAGGAAGTGTGGATCGAGGGCCTGCGCAGTTACCTCCTGGACTGGTGGAATTTCCTGGACGTGGTCATCCTGTCCCTGTATCTGGCGGCCTTCGCGCTGCGGCTCCTCCTGGCTGGGCTTGCATACATGCACTGCCAGGATGCCCCGGATGGGGTTCGCTGCCGCTATTTTACCACGGCTGGTGAGTGACATCAACCCAGACCTGAATCCCCCAGTTCTTCTCTTCCTTGGCTCTCAGTCTCAGCTCCCACTCCACCCTGCACAGAGCGAAGTGAGTGGCACACCGAGGACCCCCAGTTCTTGGCCGAGGTGCTCTTTGCTGTCACTAGCATGCTCAGCTTCACCCGTCTGGCCTACATTCTGCCGGCTCACGAGTCTCTGGGCACTCTGCAGATTTCCATTGGCAAGATGATCGATGACATGATGCGGTGAGTGTGGTCTCTGCGCAGAGCATCCTCCTCCCTGACAGACTCTGCTGACCTCCTGCAGTTCTAGTGCAGCACAAGGGTTCTTAGCCTGTGTTCCTTTATAGAGTCCAGAGATGTCTGAAACTATTGGCAGAGTTGCAGGTGTAAATGTATACTCTCTGCAGAAAGTATCTGTACCTTTCATCTAATTCTCAAAGAGGCCCATGACCTAGAAAAGACAAAGCATCCCTAGCAGAAAGAGCTCTTGCTTAGAAGATCAGGGCCAATTGTGTCACGGTCTCCATGGCTCTTTGTAGGCCTCAGTTTTTCCTTCTTCCAGAAAGGGCACTGCAGCCAGGTGTCTACAGCACTGCAGCTGTAGAGTGTCCTCCTCACTCTACAGCTGCTCTTTGAATTCATGGTATTGTCTAGTCTTCTTAATACTGATCACCTAATCACTTAAAGCTAATCAGAGGCCACAGGGGGTGCCTGGTCCCCTGGGGAAGGACAAAGTGGGTGCCCTTGGTGGAACAGCCCTGGCTTTGTCTGTGGACATACTCAGCTCAGCTTAGCTTGGAGGAAAAGCTCCCTCCCCACCTCTGAGATGTTTAGCCCTCCCTTTTGTAGGCTGACTCTTACATGTGGCTTTAACTCTACTAGTGATGAAAGCTGTTCAACAAGAATCTGACCCTCATGCATTCCTGTACCACATCTCAGCATCTCAGTCCCTCCCAGGGAGACTGACCCATCCCCAGCTCTGACAACTTAACCTCAATACCCTTTATTCT